CAGTACTGGAAAAAAAAATCGTGTTTTTCCAGGATTTCCATGACATTCCAGGACGCGTACGAACCCTGTATTGAAATGATACGCTAAAGAGAAGGCAGCTAGTCAATATCATCAACTAAATAAAATTCCTGTAAAATTTATATATATGCCTAAATTGTTTTATGAAAAACATGATTTTACAGCAAATGTCTGTTGTATTTTGCACAAAGAAATTTATGTCAGGAAATGACACTTCCCTAACATGTTTAATCAAAACTTTTATCACTTAATATCGCTTTTGTGGTTCCTTATTATTGTATAAAACACTCACGAAACAGTGACTAAACTCAATTTATGTAATTTTTTTTTACCTTAAGAGCTAATAAAAGAAGAAAAGTCTCAACACTATAAAATCCTCTGTCAACAAAATCTCCCATAAACAGGTAGTTTGTTTCAGGTACATCTCCACCAACTTTAAACAGTTCTTTCAAATCATAAAATTGTCCATGGATGTCTCCACACACCTATAAAGGGAGAAGGAAAAAAACAACAAAAAAACATGAATTATTCTTATTATTACACTGAGACACATAAATTGCAAGTTATGTACATTATACACAGTTTTTCTGTATTTTTATTTCAAAAATATTATAAATATTATAGTGACACACAAAAAGAGGGTGAAAAAAATAATTTGCAATATCCTCCCAAGTTTGTGACACAAATGTCTTAAACTAAATAAGTTTATGTCCATGTAATTAAAGCATTTAACTGTCACCCATGTTCTAGATCAGGGATAGCAAACCATTGGCATGCATGCCACATATGGCACATGAAGGGAAATTGTTTGTATGCCAAATTTTTTTAAGAAATATTTTTTCGTAAATTTTCGAGTAAAAAATGGCAGTGAAGTAAAGTTAAAAAAAAGTGGAATTAATTGAATTTCAGTCTAGCTTAATTTGGAAAGAAAAGTTTGTTGAATTGAGGAAAAGCATTGAAGAAATGGAATACCAATGTTTAGCTGTGTCTACATCAAATTGTCTCTATTAAAACAAAGATCACATGGCAGAGCATTATTATTTTTTTATCAACCATTCAATCATTGAACAGTTGTACTGGTATAGTTAAAACAAAATATCAATGAGATGCCTATTACTTTCTAGAATATTTGAAAGTTGTAGTTTCCTGTCTGTTGTAAGTTATTTTTTCTGGTTCTTAAGCTTTAAAAGGTTGGCCACACCTGTACTAGGTAGTTCCTAAGGTGGAATTATTTATCCAAGTTTTGTTATTTCATATTAAACAATAAAAGTAAAAAATAAATTATTTTTACAGAATATCTCCTTTTTCATTTATTAATCTATAAGTTAGAATTCTTCAGTTTTTCTTGTCTGGTATACGATAACAGAATGGAGAGTTAAAACATTAATCTCACAATGATTTACTAGTATATTTTGTAATCTGTTCAAAATAAAACTTAAAAAATAAGTTTGTTCTTTTTATATATTTTGAATTTTAAGGTAACTGATATTTTTACACTAAAACTAAGATGCTTTTGATAGTTTATGATAATACCACATGCATATTCAAGTCTTTTATTAAATAAATTGTATTTAATCTTATTGTTCACGTTTGCAGATATTATAGTTTTTCTTAAGTTAATAGATAAACCCTTTATATATATATATATATATATATATATATATATATACACACACACACACACACACACATATATATACATTATAAACTCAGTAACTACAGGGCCATCATAGAGCACAAGCAAAACACATCTGACTAAATAGTCAAAGTTTAGAGATGCAAAATATTTAAAACCTAAAACCTTTTATTTAATACTTCTTTACTATTCAAGTTATTTAACCAGCCTCACTTGAGGTACTCCTTTAACTACTGTAGATTATGAATACCAATCCCTTTTTTGAATAAAAAAATAAAAGAAAAAAGGCTTTAAATTTAAAAGCAAACCAAGGAAAAGAAAATACAGGTGATATTTTTTACTTATCTGTTTACAATTATTTTATGCTAGCATATACTAATACAGAAGATGAAATTTGAGTTTGCTGGTACTATCAAATATAGTCCATGGAAGATGTTGCATAAATGTTACTTATTAGGGAATTCAGATAAAATTATCTCAAAATTCAAATAAAGAATATGTAGACTTCTTTAGCTAGCATTCAGAAAATTATTCTTACATCCATAATCTGATGTATGTTACTAACATACAGCAAAAAAGGTAAAATCAAAGACCTTGTGTCCAGTATATATGTGAATTGGGGGAAAAAACACAAAATTAGAGTTAGACAAAACATGAATTATAAGTAGTTAAAAAAATAATTGATTCATATAATAGCCCTCTTTTAATAAATAATGAAAGAATCTTTTATTTTAGCATTACTTCATCATAAATGAACTGTGAAACAAATAATACTTGTATCATAAGATAATTCTTTGTGATATTATACCGTTACTGGCGAGTCAACACGTTGGACGTTACTTTCTTCTACTAAAATCTCTCTGGCTTTTGTACAAAGAGCTTTTACTTCACTTTCTTTGATTATTTCACATCGTCTTAGTTGCTCAATTTGTCTGTCAAGGTCACTGCAGTCCCCCATCCTACAACTTTAAACCTTCAACTTGTGAAGAAAAATTAGTATTTATTAATTTTCTCTTTCCATAACCATAATAACACAAAAAAATGTTTGATTTAATCTATTTGAACATTCATAATTCATAATAAAAAATGAAGTTCACAGAGCAATCTTGTAAATTTGTCTAAAATTTAGAACTCACTATACAGGGTGGCAATTCAATACATATCATGTTACATGTATCATAATAAACTTTTCCTCCTTTCATTTGTTTTTCTTTAACTCTATACTTACTATGTCTTTTTCATTTTAATTAATATGGCAACAACAAAAAATGAAAGCTATCCATCCAAATAAAAAGTTTTGATATTTACTAATTCAACAAATTTGGGATTATTGTATATAATTAGAATAAACAAAATTCCATATGTGCTCATGAGACAGCATATTTGAAATGAATGATTAAAACATTTGTATTCATCATTGTTTCCGAATGAAATAATTTTAAAAATAAAGTGAACAAGTATTCTTGTTTGTGATGATAAACAAAAAAATAACAGGAATAAAATGTGTCACCACAGTCAATTATTATCGGGAGTTAAAATTTACCTCTTTGAAATATACCAATGAAAATAAAGTGACAACTTAAAGGAAATGAAATAATATAAAATTTAAAATAATTGATATTTGAAGATCTTTTATTTAAAAACATGTTTTTTACAAAATTGAGATCAATTTCAAATGACTAGAATTCATAATCACCCCAGCATTCTTTCAGGTAAGGAAGGAGATGTTTACTTTGCTGTAAACATTTTTAAAAAATGTGGATTTTAAAAGCATATATATAAAAATGCATATGTTTAGATTTAGTTAAAAAAAACAGCACAACCAACACTACTAAAAATAATTAAAGTCACACAATTAGCCTAAGAGATAAGGCAAATCATTCAAGCATTTTTTTCAGGTAAATTAGCATCAAAACATGTACTGGTTTTAGCATAGTTCTCTGGACCGAAACAGTCAAAAGCAGTTGAAACTCCTTTTCTGAAGATATTGAAGTTGCAGGTATGCAAAACAGATGCTTGGCAACTTTAGATAAATGAGAAAATTTGTATCAATTGAAGATTTACTCTTAAACTCCTTATTTCAGCACTGCATAAATGAGGTACACTCTTTTCAACAGCAACTGACTCTTCCTTGAATGCCTGACCCAAAAGTTCATGCAGTGCCAATTCTACCTTTTTGGTTTTCTTTGGAGCTGGCTCTTCATCCTCACCTTTGATAATAGCTTTGACAGTTGGCACAGCTTCAAGAGAAACAGCAGGAGATCATCTTAGAAATAATGCTGTTGTTACTTTTTGTTCCCTGTCAGACAGGAGATATTTCAAACTCATGGCCAGAGGAGGTGGATATAAGAGGCTTAGCCTTCCCAAATAAATTATCCCTCACAGGACACATATTCAAATATATTATGTAGAGAGAAAGAGGGTGTATGTGTATTACTGAGGAAGGTTCATTTATATAGGAGCTAAAACTGATTCTTCCCAACAGCATACCCCCCTCCACACACACACACGTGACAGAATAGCCTACCCAAACAAAAGACTTACATGATGCTTATGCTCATGGCTTTCTCAAGCAAGGCATTGTATGCTGCTTCTTTCTCAAAATCAGTTACAAAAGGAATGGTTTTGAATCTTGAATCAACAGCAATTGCAACATGAATGAAATCTTATCTGCAGCATAACAATTTTCCAAAAACTCAAGGCTTGCATTTTTCATGTCTCGGATCATTCTCATTTTCAGAGTTTTTGTTTCAAAGGTGAAAGAAGAGAAACTAAAAGTGAGATTGTTGGTACGACCTCATAAGCTCAATAATGCTTTCTGCTTGCTTCACATAAGATTTAAAGTGCCAGTGGAAGATTTTTTTAAACTTCATTTCACATCAGGGTAGCATAGACAGCTGCTTGTTGTTTTGAGAAATGCTCAAGCACATCAAAAGATGAGTTCCCTCATTTTACTACATCTTGTTTCAGTTTCTGTGTTGGCAGCTCTAAGTTTACTTTGAGTTTATTTGCAGCTTGTGGCTATTTAAGTTTCATTCTTCTGTGGCATTGTTCAATATTTCTACACTGTTTTCTGCTGTGTGACTTTCTTGCACTATATCTTGTTTGCAAAACTTGCATGACTTCAATTTCCATGAGGACTTGGGAATTAAATGACAAGTCATTGTCACATATAATTCTATGGCTTTTCTAGTCCAGGAGTATGTAATTAAAGCAATAATTTCAGCTACTGCTATGTCTAACAGGACATTTGCTTTAACCTCGAGGTACACATTTGGAATCACTTTTTGTGCAAAGTGATTCCTACCAATCATTTCATTTATTACAGCCTTAAAATGTTTACTTTCCACTTGCAAATAAGGCCTCAAGTCTTTAGCTATAAATCTGCCAATATCATTGTTATTTTCATATTCCTCATTGGAGTCATTTGTGGTGTGTGGAAAGCTGTAATTTTTGGATGGACATCCCCATATTTTGGGTTAGAGGTAATGGCAGTGAAGCTAATGATGGAAACTGATCTAGATCTAGACCCCTTGTTCTGGCTCTTTGAAACCCAGGATGATTGGCTGTCATGCCTAATCAGGTGCAGCTGTAGTTTTTGTACTATATGTGATCATTTGAAAACATGTCATACAAACTACCTTTTTATCATCTCTTTTCAGAAATCCAGAGTATTTTTACACATTACTCTTATATTGTGCTAGTGGACTGACAATTTCAAATTTTTTCTTGCTCAGCCATTTCTTTTTTACGCACCTCTGTTATAGGATAATAGTCATATAAAATATTCACTTTCCAATGTTACCAACTCTATGTGAATGTTTAATTAAAAGGATTGTTAAGTTAGCTTCCTATAAATTTACTGTCTTCAATATCAATAAAATATGGTTAGGCCCTACATCTTTTTTCAAAAGACAAATATATGCACTGATGAGATATTCAGTCTTAATTTTACTTGATGATCTCTTCTATATTCCCCCTGTTGATAGATAATTTCATAAACTTGTTTCCTTTCAAACCTCATATTTCTGTCATGTTATATTTAGAGCACAGAATGTAAATAAGGCTGCACAAAAAGACTTAGTGTTATTAAAGATGTAAAGGGCAAGGAAGGTTGTTAAATGCAACTCTCAGTTCTTAAAACATTTGTTTAATTAGAAAATAAATTAATAGACTACTGATGTTGTAATAATTAATTATCAAATATTTTGCCTGGCCCAAAAAGAAATTTCTAGTCACTTGCAAGTTTATATCTAAAATAAGGATTGATCTTCAAACTTTCACGAATAAATATACTGATACTCATAAAAAAGATGATACATTAATACACATCAATGTATCATGACACCTCTACTACAATTGTAATTCATTAACATATAATTACACAAAAACAGTATTAATTAAATGTGTTTTATTGTAATCAAATTGCAGGATTCTTGAATTTTGGAAAAAAACTACAAGGTAGTTTTCTGTGCTAACCATTCCTAATTTGGAAGTGATAGACTAGAGGGAAGGTGGCTAGTCAATACCGTCTACTGCCAACTTATCAGAATGAAAACTGGGATTTTAATTTACCCATGGCCCCAAAGTGCAGAACTATTTTTTGGTGGTAATGGGGTGTGAACTATGAAACCTTAGATTCACAGTTTGAAGTACTAACCACTGGGCCATTTTTGGCCAAAAATATAAAAATCTTGTTATTAATACCTTAATATATTATTAATACGACAAAGTACAACTAGAAAATAAAAATTAAATATTCATCAATTCATACACCATTTTTATGTTTATCAAGATTCAGTCTATATCTTGTAAAAAGTATAACTTTATTAACTTGTTATTAAATATATCAATCACACTTGGCAGAAAGTATGAACTATTTGCATGTTAGTAACTTGATATGTAAAGTTAACATAACATTAAAAGACAAAAAAGGGATCTTTTGATCCATCTGGGCAGTTCCTATTCACTAAATTAAACTAATCCCTAAATAACAATAACGGCAAACTCAAAGCCTGCCCTCATATTTATCAAACCTTCCTTTAACTCTTTCAGCATGGGCTCAGTCCCAGGACTGATCTTGTAACCATTTTGTGCTTATTATAGTTATCATGCTATAACCTTTAAATTAGTAAGTGAATGTTAATGAAATTTGGCAGAGTATCAGTAAACATTACAATGCTTTCATACGTAAATTTGTTTATTAAGTCTTAAGGTTTGTAAAGCAATGTTTTTCTCATGTCTTTTTTCTTTTCTCTATCAAGCAAAGTAATAATAATTTTAAGATTAAAAATACTTTTATGCATCAGAAAATTTTTAAATTTTACAAGCAAAATCTTTATAATGTCCATATAGTTATCAAATGTTTCTTAAGAAAAAACTTTATATTTTATCTGTTATTTTCAGTAATTAATCTCTGTATGGGTTTGGTAGATTTGACCGATCTCACAACCACCATAAAAAATTAAGAAATAAATATAAGTTATGCCTCTTTCATTCTAAAATGAACACAAAGTATAACATGTAAACATAAATGTTTAGATTAAATAGCTTAAATCTCATAACATTATACATTTATATATATTTATTATTTTTATTACACTGACCTTTCAGCCGTACCTAGCTAACAATACAGAAGTTACAGTGACATGGTCCATGTGCACTCATGTTACCGTATCCAATAACACAAAACTGACCTTTGGTCTGTACAAAGTAACTTGTCTTGGCTGAGTTTTAATTGACTAGAATTTTTAAAATACAGTCACATTTCAATTATTATACATTATATATGTATATAGATTATTGCTATTTTGAAATAAGTTCTTAAACTTGCTTTTCTTAAAACATAGAACAGTAACTAAAGGAGTAAAGCAAACAATTATCTCCAAGTTATAACCTTTTTACTCGGTTGCTAAGCTTTTAAAAAATTTGCCCGTGGAGGATACGAAACAAAATATTTTTTTAGGTTTTATACATACA